TAATATTGATACGGATATCAAAATCATTATGCAATCGAGCCACGCTGGACTAACGTGCTTTTAATTTCCGTTAAAAAAAAAAAAAAATGTCCGCATTTGAAGGATAAGGTGAACACGCGCTATATATTATACGTGTGTGTGTAGACTAACGCAGTGATTGGCTACTGAAACGACAGAGTTCCGTAAAATATTGTCATATCAACATACGAACCATATGATCTATCTAGTCCACATCAATTCATTGCCTGAATTTTACTAAACGAGCAAAAGACCGTAGTGGCACACTTAGCTAACTTTACTATAAAATTTACTCTTATCTTGTAAAAGAGATGAGTTCACCATTGGGTAGTGAATTGTATTATTAAAAACTGTACGGGTGGTGATTCATCTGTCTAGACTAGCCATATGTAAATGTAAGTTTGGCTACCATGACTGGCGCCCTCGTGAATGATAAAAAGTTGAAAGTCGTACAATCAGTGTGATAAATCTTCTATATTACGCCTTCCTTGAGAATGTAAAAGTATAGTCTCAACCTATTGCATTACTGACTATGCGTCATGCGGGAAAAACGTAGGAAGAAGCAACAATGACTGGAGCATTAATATTTAATTGTTCATATACATATTTTTATTAAAATATGTACCTGTAGAAAAGCAGAAAAGGTATACAAAACGTGGGTGATTGATGTTTTAATTGAATAAAGACTGCATTTTATGCAAGGAACTGATGCTAAATTGCTGAATCATTTATGAGCTTCAGTGATAAATGAGGACAACGTTAGGATGTAGTAGTCAACACCTGAAAATTATTTTTTGACAATACCTATTTGCTTAGATTCAGTTACTGCGATGAAATTATAGAAGCATTCAAATTTTTGGCGAAAATATTTTGAAGGGTTATTTTTATGGACGTTATCAAGAGCACTAAGCAAGCATTTTTTTAATTCACTAGAATTAGAAAAATATAGATATCTCTCGTGATGTCTCTCATAGTGACAGTCACTATTTGAACAGAAAATGGGTATTATGTACAACAATCGTACTTGTGAAATAAATTTCGGTCACTTTCATGAATTATATATAATTAAACACATAACGCTTCAGTCGATTTACTTTGGTAAAAAAGATCGATGATCAACAAATTTTAAAAGCAAAGTTTGCATTTAATAGAAAAGTCACTATACTCAGAAATACTCTCAGTCTGAAACAATCGTGGTATGGAAAGTTTAAAATTATAATTAAATTTTTAATAGATTAACATATTTAAATTTTATTATTATTATACTTTTTAGAAATCATCCATTGTTTTTTGAATAATTTCAATGACACGAAAATTTTTAGTTTTTAAAACATATTTGCAAAAACTACTATACAGTATTAAAGTAAAAATTTGAAAATAATTAGACTTATCAATGTTAAATTAAAAATGAAAAACTGCTATTACGAGTCTACAAGTAATTAAACCTATACAACCGTATAATACAGTTTATGTTTCATAAAGTCTTGGATTTTTTAGAAAATTGTATTGATGATTATTTGTTGCACTACTGTATGATATCCTTATCTTTTAGATAATCTGTTGAAAATTATTGTATCTTTTATAAAATAGATTGACCAAAAAAAAAAAAATGATAAAAATTAAGGCATCGATCGTCATCTGAATTTTGAAATCACGTAATCAATTTGAAAGCTTGATAATGGTTATTAAAGTGAAAGTCGCCGCGTAAATAATCTATACCTATAATTACTTGTAAATTCTTGTCGGAGAGCCTATACACATCGATAAGTGGGTTTCTGATACTGGTTTGTAAGCCACGACATTGCGGAAGGCCATTAAACTTCCGACTCATTAAACTTGTTAACAGGATGCAACTTGTACATTACATCAGGCGTATTCAAATTTTTTTCCAACGAAATAATTACAGAATTTTGCACTGTAATAAAATGCTAAACAGATGCTAATTAATGCAAACATTTTTTTAAACTACTTTTTTTTCTTACACCGGATTAGGTACACCGATTAGGCATTCTCTATGGAATAGCTTAAAGCATTAATTTTTAGTGTAATTAATAGGTACAGTATTTTTAAGCATTTGCATGAACGTAGGATCTCGTAAATCATTTAAAAAAACAAATAACTTTATTCCAGACAACTTTAAAAAAAAACTACCAGAAAACGGTCTATTATTCCTACAACATTTACATTTGGGTGAGGAACTCAAATGTTACCATGCATGCTCGTACAACAGTTACGAAAAGTGAAAAAATAAATGAGATGTCTAAATAATTTTAGTTGGTGATTTAATAATTTTCCAACTTAGGCTCAGTATACATAATCATTTTAGTTATCCGAGTTGATTTTACGATGTAGTAAGTACAATGTGGTAAGATTCAGGAGCTGTATGTAAAAAAAATTCACATAAATATATATACATATATACGTTTATTTAATATTCTTTCATTTGTTAGTATGATATACCAACAAATTTTAGCAAATTGGCCAAACAAATGACTTAGCTGGAACTCAATGTGGCTCTCAAGAAATTACAATGGTCAGAAGAACTACAACAAACTCTTGGTGGTAAGTACAAGTTCTTTCTTAGTTAAAAGAAAGTTTTCCAACACCCGTGTACAATATTCAGCACTACAGACAGAGTAGCAGCAGTTTGTTACGTTAGACCGTAGAGATTAGTCAGCAGCTCTCCAGTGAGGACGAAAAAAGCCGTGTGCCCGTTCAACGTACGCTATTCCATGATGTAAGAATATAAGGTGTGGCGTTGCGCATCCATTTTGATTGACCAATCAGGAACGCTTCCATCGCGCCGCCATGTCTGTCTGCGAATTTCAAAAGCTTTTAAAACATAAAGCATATTAACATCAAAAAACTCGTGAAACTATTTCAATATTTTCATTACAGTTGTTTCAGTGACCAAACGTACAATTCGTGAATATTCACACAGAAAAACCAGAGAAAAACTGACTAAATAGGTAATCATTCATCAATTGACGTACATGTATACTCATACGTATGTCTATATCTATATATATGTTTCACTTCGAGGTGGATGCGGGGGATAGATTTTAGTTTCAACTTTGGCCACTTCGTTTCATTGTATAGGCTCTTCGGCGCTGTAGTAGTCACATCTACCTCACATATGGCGTCGTGATGGAAGGCGCAGAACGGCACGAAAATGAGACCTTAGATCGCCACACCTTATATTCTTACATCATGGGCTATTCTTTCAGTAATGGTCACGTATTAGACCAGATAAAATAAATATCAAACCAGCTTACAGACTCCTACGTTGTATACAACAATGCGGAGACAACGAGGTTGAATATTGGCCACTGCTGCGTACATATGCATATGTATCTGCAAGTGGTTTGTGAAAATCTGGGTATACGTATACTTACGGCACAGTGGAACCGACTTTTATAGCAAAGGACACGCGGGAACGGTCGGGTGAAATGCGCGTGTGAGAAGTTTGAAAAATTCCTGGGTGTGGTCGCGAACTCTGCTCGACTGTACTACATACGTGTGTAAGCTAGCTGGTTTGCAACATCACCATGTCGGCCTGCTCTCGAATCTTTTCTTTGTACGGCGATTAAGTGCACGTGTGCGTGGAGGTGTATTGCACAGACCAAGCGAGCAGGATGTCGGCGCGTTCGGCAAGGTCGTTCGACTGTTTGCCGATTTTTCCCAACTTTTCGTCTTTTTTTTCTTATGAACTCATATAGCCGATTGCATGCACCATCCATTATTTTCTTTTTTTTCCCGTCTCCTTAGGCCCCATTCAATGCTCAACGTGTTCCGCTTTTCTATGTATGAGATAGTTTATCGCGTGTTGAAATAATGAATGTGCATGCTCTCCGATAACTGCAAAAGTCGTTCTCCCCCTCTCATTGCTCGCTTTGATTGTAAGGCTAATGATATGGTTCATGGAATAAATGTATGCACCGGAAAACTTGCGTGCGTGTGTACGTACTTAGTCTCTTGGCGTTTTATCTTTCTAGGAGAGGAATTTCAGAATTTTATCGGCCCTAGAGATGAAAATTAAGTAGCTACAGAACGTGTTACGTCAATAATGCAGATTTAAATATACAACAAAATTAAGTTAAAATTTTTTTTCCCTGATTAAAGTGTCATTGAATATTTCAGGTTGTTATTGTCGATTTGCAGGACTGCAAACCCTATAGCTGAATTTTTCGGACAAATCACACCTCGAACAAACTTAAAGGACAAAAGCTGTGTGCTGTGTGACTACAATTTGAGTTGCCGAACTGATGCGCGGTCTTTAATTTTATTCGCTTCTTACGGTTCACATAATTATAAACGACTAGTGCACGTTTTTCGTCGATTGCATGGCATCGCGAACACAACTACTTATATACGTGTATATTAATCGTCATGGGGCACGTTTTGGAATACTGAAATATTGCAAGAATCTCATGTCGTAATCTTTACAGACTTATAGCTTTGAGAGAGTATATAAGAGATGGTCTTTTCTCGCTTGAGGACTTTATCCCTGTGAAGACTCGAAAGGATTATTTGGCGGTACAAATGGAAGGGCAAGAGGTGAGCCGCTACATAAATAAACCCGTGGAACGGGTTGTTTCGTACTGTTCGCTTTATGTTATTATCCTGAATGTATTCATTCACTCACGTGTATCATTTATTGGTATTTTTCTTAGAAGCGTTTTATTTTTGCTATGGAATAATATAATAGAGGAAATGATAAATCAATTGATAAACGACTGTTCCGCCCACAAGAGCGTTCGAGAACATTCGAGAGCGTTTGTTACGAGCGAAAGCTTCATAAATTTTCAATCGATTACAGAGTGTTAAAAATATCCTTATAAGTTGTCAATCCGACTTTTTATTGACTGATGTATGAACAATGTTTCTTTGACAGCTATATTTCTAAAATTAATCCTGTGCTTAAACCTATTTCATTGATTTCTTAAGACATTACACAGTTTATAAAAACATTTGGCTGCGTTTTTAAATTTTTTGTTAGTCATTTATTTTAGCATTCCAATCAACAAACTGCGCAGCCTGTACGAATAAAATTATGATTGAGCAGATACGAAAAATCGTCAAACTGTAATTGAAAAAAATTCGTAAACGAGACGTGCAAGTTTATTAATAAGTGAGCGAAGGCTATGTACATAGGTCACCCGTAATGTAAGATTAAAATGAGTCGCAACAGTAATAATCATACAATCAATAATTTCATCGCCTGTAATTCACACTGTAGGAGCCAAGATTTAAGTTGACGTTCGAAGTCGCTTGTCCAGCAAATTTGTTTGGCTGTGATGGTCCATATGCTGCAAGATCTGGCTGGTACTGTGGCTGATACTGCGTTCTATACTGGGGCTGATATTCAGGCTGGTAGGCAGGTTGATAAGCTGGTTGCGCTGCTACAGGTGCAGGGGATGGCGCAGGCTTGCGATAGGCTGTGGCCACGGATTTGCTGAAATACAAATTTTACCATTTAGTAAAAATACTTACTTGATGTTTAAAGTAATAACTTTGGTGTTGCTCAGAATTTTTTAAGTGTATCCTGGTTACAGAAATTTTCATGTATAAGATAAAAAACAACCATCTAATTGAAAACAAGCACTTCACTTAAAAATAAGACAGTAAAACATAAGTTTGTAATATTTTCCACGAGCATTCCCTAATAAAATCATGTAAAATCTGTGCTTAAGAAATTGTGTTGGCCTAAAGTTGTATAAAGCCAAAGCAGAGGCCAGAGCAACAGGCAAATCTAGAGCCTGAGATCGCGGATTCCCACAAAGCTTGCCTTAAGGGGCTCGCTATGACCTTTGGTTCGCTCGATCATCGCACGAACTGTTCGCTTTGAAAAAAGTTTACTTGAAGAATATTTTATCACTAAGAGTATTGAGCTTGTTTGTTTAAACCCATTGTACACAAAGGTCTTTGAAACAAATTTAGGATGAAAATTTACGAGTTATTCCTCTGATTTTTGCTTGAAATAATAGATTATTACATATACTTTAGAATGAAAAAATGAATCAATTTAATTAAATATCCTGAAAAAAAAAATCAAAACTATCTCTCTTAAAATTCTACCTGCACAATTAATCAGAAAAAAAAACAATTTTAAGCTATTCTTAACAATTGCTCATGCGCAATTAGCGACAAAACACACCTATAAAAGTTGCGTGCATTGACCTCGAAAACTCTCGCGTGTCGTCGAACAAAGACCGCTGTCTCTACCATTGACTCGTTAAACCAACTTATCGATGTATTAATATGCAAATATTTAATTACAACCACGCGAAATTTATGTCATTTATTTAACTTGTTATTATTTTCGAAAAAAAAGACATGAAAAGCGACTCCATCGAATCATATTGAATTCGTAAGTTTGAAAAAAATTTTGAGACCGTAGATAATTACTGCTTGTTTTTGCATCATTTTTTTCTTTGTTGCTATTAAACACGAGATGATTGAAGAAAATAAAAACGCAATATCCTAATCATTTGTATTGTACAATGATCTTTACGAAGAATATATTTTACTACTAAATAAAAAAGAGCCTACCTCGGTGCTGGATAGGCTAAAGGTCGTGGCTGCTGATAGTTTTGCAGAGGGTATCTCTTGGGCACAGGTTCGTACTTCTCGCCATTAGTATACCTCGGATCGGTATAATAAATCGTGGGGTCCTCGCGATATTGTCCATCGTCGTCATCTTTTTCACCATTCAAGCTGTTGCCATGGAGGGTCGGTGGTGGGACGTTGATGCCTGTGCCGCTGGGCTCAAAGCCGCGCCGAGTCGCCCCATATTCGATCTCGCGCAAACTTCCCGTGTCATCGATAAAGCCATACTTTCCATACACCTCACCTGTTGGATGCTTTGACTCGATCTTGTAGCTACCATCGGCCGCCTCGTAGCCATAGCTATAGCTTCCGTCCTCGTTGTGTCTGTCATAATAGGTGCGACACATAAAATAGTAGGCGGAAATGAATAGCATTGCACGCAATACCAGGAAGGATAAGCGAGCTATTGGCCGCAAAAGGTAAAAGTATGTAGAGCGAGAGATAGTTGTTGGAAAAATTAATTTAGAGGGAGAGAAAAAACAAGGTGATTGACAAATTCCTGGGAGTACTAATATAGATATATGTATAAGGTGTTATCCAACACAATGCCAGAGTAATTATGCAACGAGCATATTACTACACGCCTCGTCCAACATACGGTCAAAAGAAGAAAGTAAAACCAACTCTTTAAGACGGGCTATGAGCTCCACTAGCCATGGTATCGTTATATGCACCCCCATTGTCTCTTCTACGCGCAACACAATGGTCAAATTATCCTCACGCCCTTTTTGCTTAATTACACGTGGCTATTACAGGCATTCGTGGGTGCGTAATATTTGTACTCTCTCACCTGTTTATTTGTTTTAAAATCGGCACTGGCGTTGTTGGCTGATACTGCCCGAGCGTCACCCCGATGCTACCCAGCAAAGCCGCGATAATCTGTAAAAACAATAAAGGGACATGAAAATAATCTACGAGAAAGGGGAGGAAATTATTTTTGAATAATGACTATAGCAAGCCAGTGCGTCGGTCTGTCGTTTTACATAGACATCTGATTGAACAGTGGACGGTCCCTTTCGAAAGAGCAGGTATAGCTTGCATAAATCGCGCGTGTCTGCGGCCGGTGGTGATCGGTATGTCGCTGCACTGGCTTTAATAATCTCTTATCTGGCGCGCTCGAGAATTTGACCCTACCACGCCTTTATCGCGCGCGCGTAAGTGCATATATAACAGAACAGAAACACTACCGGTCGGTAATTTTTTAACTATTAGCTTGCGATTAAATTCCGATGTAATGGGCGGCCTTTGTGAGGATTAAAACAAAAACAAGTGGCTGAAACGCTTGATTTATTGCCCGATCGCTTGTTCTCTTATGCGAGTGCTGGAAATGACTTCGATATAACGATCATAATAACACTTGGTAGTTTTTGATCGATGTTTTAAACATATTTTAGATGATAATTCAAATCAATTAATATTACTGAAATATCTAAAACTTCTTATCTTTGTGTTAGAATTTTTAACAGTAGCAGATACCTGTATTTGTTGAAAATTGTTATGTAATTATTAGAAATACATGGAAATACACGAAATTATTTGATTATCATGCACCTTTTGATTATAAACTAACTTCAAGTGTTCCAAGCAAAAGATGAAACAATAAAATAATATTTCTTGTTTGTTTGGTAAAAAATTAAAACAGAAGCGCAGAACGAAATGAACAAACGAACAAAAACTATAATCGATTTTCGTCCCCTTTTAACACTTCTTTCCAATATTTTCTCAATTTTTCAATAAGAAAAAGCACAATGTCTTCACTAACGTAAAAAAAAAATCTTAATAGCACTGAACCTCGTAAAATTAAGTGTAAAACACGTGCAAGCGTCACAAGGCTGCAAGAAGAAAGAACTCACAAGTAGGCGCATCGTAGTCTTCGTGGTGCGGTGTGTGGTTTAACGTGTACAAACCCGAGGCTCTTTGCAGGAGAGGAGGAGAGGCGCGACGGCGATTGTGTTTGTAAAGATCGCCTCATGCCGCACGGCGTACGACTTATATAGGTCCCCATCGGGAACGGCTTGGCTGGCTGTTTGGTTCTGTCTGGGGGCTCGCCCATGCAGTGTGTACTGAATATGCCCAACCACCACTTCGGCTCCCCCCAGCGGTAGCACCACCTTGTGAGTATGATCCTGGGCTGGCTCTCTTTCTTTCTCTGGTCTTTTCTCCTTCGCTCTTCCTTTCTTTCTTTTTCCCTCTCGTGGTGTGCTCAACTACTTGTATGTACTGCTACTCTCGAAGGCGCGCTCGACTTTGAAAATCATTTAGAATGGACACAGGTGTAGAGACGGTCACATTTTTGGACGTGGGAGATTAGCAGTATTTTACGTAGACATTGGGTAATGATATATTGGACTTAATTAGAAAAAGGGGGAAAGGGAGAATTGGCTTGTTCGGTAATTACGTTGTTGACATTTTTTTGTACTGATAGTGTTTAATATTTTATTGATAATCAAAAGTTTTTTATTAAATTAGTTCTAATTAAATTATGTTTTTGTTTACTTTTATTGCCTGGTAGTAAATAGTAAACAATTTGACTTTTATGTTAGAATGAACGGCAAAGAGGTAATTCAATAAACTACGTTGGAAAAAATATCTAGATTAAATTTAATTTTAACAAGGAACAAAAAATTACATGTAATTATAGTATAAAATTATGTACTCGTGTCTTTTGAGATCGTGACAAGTTTAGTTTTCAATGATAAATTATATTTTTTCTAGATAAGTAATTGATTACGTTGAATATGACACAATTAAATTGGAAAAATGATAAGTTTTCATAAATATGTTTGTTGATTAATATAGCTCATTATGGATTTTGACGTAAAATTTTAAGAGCAAAAAACGTTTCTTTACTTCTACTTAGACAATTCAATCAAGATCCTTTTAAAACCCAAAGTGCCATTCTAAATAATAATAATAACAATAAAAAAGATTACATCAAAATTTCTGATTAACATAATACGGTTAACATATCAATCAAGAAAAATATATCAAAACTAATTCCTCATGCTTATTTGTAATTCATTTAATTTGTGCTCGAATATGCTGTTATTTAATTATGCTGTTATACACTGCATCAGATTTCCGTCTTTTTCCTTTGAGGAAGATTCCAGCTTACAATAATTTGAGGCATTGCCCTGCCCACGAATCGAACTGTTTTGACCGGATATAAAGTTTTTAATCAGACTGGAGAAAATATACATGCCCAAGTATGAGCGAGGCACTATTTTTGTCATGCAAAACATGTTAACACGTACATGAATATGGTGTAAAATTTTAACTTGAATTAATCTACTCGACATAAATTTGCCTCTTCTCACATGAAGGTTGAAAATTTAACATTGCACTAGATTTTTCAAAGGTGTTGGTAATGCATATACTTCTTTTGTTACAAGATCATTTTGTTATCATTGCAAATTGAAATGGATTGTTTTTCAACAGGTAATGTTAAGAAAGTTAGTCATCTATTACTATTCCATAAATTGTGTTAATAATACTGCATGAGTAAAAACACTCATACATATAATATTGAAAAAATAATCTAAATTGAAAATCATTGCTAACGCAGTGGTAATCTCACTTCCGTAACTTTACTTTTTTCATATATAAGAATTTTGAGAGGTTTATTTAACAACACACTAGTGGATTGCGCAAGAGATTCGAAAGCCTTGCGTACAAAGATTTTTCAAAACTTTTCTCATAAACGACATTGCAGGGAAAAATAATAGATCGGCCCGAATCTTTATGTAAGCGCGACTAAAAATCGAGGAGCTCCTGGCATGAGTTTCAGTTACAAAAGCATTGACGCTTTACGTAACGTTATGTCTGTTGTTGATTAACTTTTGCTGTTAAATATACAAGACACATACATATTCATAGACCTACCAATCAGTTTCATTTCGTTCAAACTTTGAATTACATAAAAAAAAACGTTACGTTTTTACTTAAAAACTCACGCACACTGTTTATTCTTAAATACAAGAGACATTCAATATCAAAGACGATCGAGCTGACCGAGATCCTTATAAGGCCACACATATCTCGAGGCTTTCTATCCCCTGAATTTTTTTGTGCTTCGAAAAAAGAAAATCAATGAACAAAAAAAATTCGCGCACAACACGCTATCACCTGCTTTAATTTCAAGGTCCGTTCGGACATGCACGCATACGAAAGCGATTGTCTCGAGACGGATTTGCAGTGCAGTAGGTATGCTCAGTGCTTTTTTCGATGCATGTGTAGTTTGCTTCCAGACTTCGAATTGCGGCCTTTCGATTTCTCTGTACCCTTGACCAAAGTCGTTTCTGCTGTAGTAGTTTCATTAAAATAAATAATGTGTTTTATTTTGTACTTACTAAATGGTTAAAATGACGATAATGCTACTCAAACAAGCTATTTCTAAGCCTGGCAAAGCTATGTTTAATATTTGCCGTGGAAAAAAAATTTGCATTTTAAAATTGGGTGTATATAAAAAACAGCTAGCTGTCAAACTTCTACTTTACGTCGCAATAGAGAAACGTTGCTTTCAAATTTATCTTTTTTTTAATGTTAGACGAGGCACTACTCCACATAATCAACGACTTCTGAATATTCACAGAAACAAAGATATACAAAAAATAAACTTCCCACACGCATATATTATCAAGGCGTGAGGTGTCCTTCAGGTAAAGCCTCACCGATTTCGGGGCCTTTCGAAGGAAAGCCACACCACTCGCGGCCTACAGTCACAAAGACGGAATGACTGGATGCAACCAATTGCTGTCATCAAAGAAATCGTATGTTTAAGTGGGACATTTTTAAACATTCTCCGAGCCGGCATGGTAGTGTACAGCTTATGGAAAATACATGTAGGTATCTGGAGTATCTGTGTACACAGTGTATACAATGTTTACGTGTACGTTTATGTGGAGAGGTATAGAGGGCAGTGACGTACTCAAAGCAGTCGCAGGACTCGCAGGCCAGGTGGTGTGGGTCACGGTGCACCATGGAAAAGTGAAAGTGTAGACAAAGCTCCATGCGGACGGCTCTTTTTGTTTTTCGTACTGAGACTCTGTATGTAGGTATAACTCTGTGGGTGAGTTTGGATAGCCTGTTCCTATACGTTTCTAGCCTCACGAGTGTGTAAGTACATGGGGCTATTGATTATAGTAATAACGCTGACGGGAGGGAGAAGGTTCCGCGAGTAACGCTGCAGGTGCAGCTCACTTTAGCGGTGGGCTCAGGTGAGATTGGGAGTGATTATTTTCTCGCTGCAAGATGACAATAAAGATGATTCTAAATGAATACCTCTGTCGTTCTTTTTATGGCAGATACATACGGAGGTACCGTAAATTTCAATATCAATAAAATTTAAAATGCGTATCCTTTGTGTCACTGTAAATTTTATTTCTTTCACGTATTGCGTAAAAAACTGTACATGATAGGGCTGCACATTTGTTACTAGTATATCATTATTTATTTAAAATCATCGACGGTACGGTAACGCCTAGAATTATCTTTGAAGTTTCTCTTTTTCCAGAAAATCCACTATGCAATAGTGCGCAATTCCTGATTATGCACTTGTATATTTACAACGTAGGTAAGCAGAAGGTACACAACACACGCAAGAGAAAGATCGCAAAGATCATCTCCATGGAAAATTACACATGATTTTCACGCAGTTCCGCAAGCGATAACGTCTCTTACACGTGTATACAAACACGGTATCGTCTCTTATTATTTCACGCAGCGAGATATGTTGTGTACGTATGGGTACATAAACAAGCACACGTATGTACATCTGTAGTACTTGCACGCGTCGTAACATGAGCGAATGCTTGGCATGGGTTATCCCTCGGCTGCACGGAAAACGCGAAGACTTTCTCATTTCTACTGTGGGTGCATGAAGCTCAGTCGAACATTGAGGCCCAGCCCCACATTTTAGACCACAGCAACTCTACAATAAGTTGCTGCAAGATACCAAGTGTGTGTTAGAGATTCGCGAGCTTATATGATTGTTCGTTCTCTGGAGTCTCGGTTTGCTGTTGTTGCTGCTAATAATCTACTAGTAGACTTTCAGCAATATTTGCTTCCTGTTTGGCGTTTTTTTACTGTACTACTTCTGAATGCTGTAGTGTTAAAAATTCGCATTCTTCACTCTTGTGAACGTATAATGGAAAAATCAGAGCCATTGAGTGCTCCAGGTAAAATCAGATCGTATAGATTGCGTATACTTATGTCCTTATTTAGTTGATTGTTTAGAATTTTTCTACCATTTCCTAGAAGTGCGGGGCAAAAATATCGACTCATTATTTCATGGAAACGCATGTTACATGTACTTATGAGTACCTGAAATTGCTCAATTTGTGTATTCCAAATATCAGGCTGTACAGGGATCTGCGTATTCACGGCTATACTCTTGATGTATTTTTAAATTTTTCTTCTACTTTTAAAAAAAAAGCTGTTATTGACAACTATAAATACTTGCGCATTGGAAGAAGTATAACTACTGTTTTTTTGAACTTGAGTACAATGACTCACTCCAACAGTTTTAATCACGCAATGATACATACTTAAGGATAGTTATGTATACACTAAACATAATTTTCAACAGTTCGTGCATTAATTACAACCAAAAAGTCTATGATATCTGTCATTTTAGACATGTTCAGTGAAATGTGTGAGAAAACGTGAAAAACGTTTTGAAAAATGAAGCGAGTCATTTAAAATTACTCTACAAAATTAGATAAATTTTATCTTTAAAATCTTGTACTCAACTTTGTTGAATTTTATGAAGAAAAAATTAAGAAGACAAAAGACGTGAAAAAATTCATAAATTCTAGCTAATTGGCGTATTGTTATAAAAAAACAGTGTATTACACTCCCATCATGAATTCGGATCAGCTTTCGGGATGCTTTTGTGTGAAACTTTCGTGTGCATGCTTTGCCTTGCACTGTC